ACAGATTGTAGGTGGTAGCCACGTACCTCTCCTTCGCCCACAGCTTTCGTAAACATAAATTCGCCATATATCCCGGAACCAGGATTTATTACCCATGAATCGAGCCAAAGGGGGCGGTTTACAATGGGCCAGCAAATTGCGGCCCGTTTATATCGATGGAGACGTTATGGGGGCGGAGGAGTTTGCCAGTGCGAACGAACAAGTGTGAAATCAGGTGTATCCATAATGCAAAGGGGTGGTACGTCGTCCGAAATTCGCCCCCGGCACGGTCGTTGCGTAGCCCCGTTGTCGGGGTCGAAATCAATTAGACACGCAGCGAAACGCTACATTTGTTCTCAACGTGACGAAAGACGGAACGCCACGGGAAATCGTCGTCTAATTGCCTTATGAAAAGCTACGATATTTACACGTGTTCGGGATCTCGATATCGGTCGATCGATTTACGAGTAGACGTCGAAAAATCGAGGACGAGATCATTTTTTAAAACGGCCAAGACAAAGAGTCAATTAACACGAGAGAATAGGAAAAGAAGGAAGATCGTAACGAGAGTAAAATGTACAGACGGAAACACGCTTGACACAGCTTAACGCTTGATTCGAGAGGCAATGAGAAAACCGAACAAAGCGCAAAGTCGCGTAGATCGCAGCCGAGGGGAGGGATGGCTCTAACTTGCTAAGAATTAAAGTGAACCGCTCGGGGGTAGCTAAGGGTCGTAGCCTCTAGCGATTATACTAATAGTCGGGGCGTAGACAAGCTGATAGGGAGAATAGGGGCACAGCCAAGCTACTAATTGTTTTACACAGCGGAAACTTCGTTTCGTTAATTCCCGTGCACCTTTAACGCGATTATCCTCTCGCGAAAAATCTAGGAAATTACAACGATATACACCCGCTGTCGGCGAATGTTCGACGTTTCGCTACAGGTTTCGCTCACCTCTCGATCGAATCCATACGTCCGGTAGACATCTTGAACGGGTACGCTTAAAAATCACGAATCGGTTAAGCGAACAGGCAGGGTACAACGTTTCCCTCCGAATAGCTTCTCTCTTCGGTCGACCATTCCGCGTGTTTGATACGGTCCATAGACAAAAAATGCCATGTATTCCAACGGTCCATCCACGGCGGGGCACCGACGATGTGGAAGGAAACTCAACAGCGGAAAAGCGAACAATGGCCTTCTTCCTGGCAGGTTGATCCTACTTGAGTAATGTTGAAATCTGGGGCGTTCCTGGGAAAGACCACCTGACCTCAGCGTCCCTTCATCAGCGTCGTTGCACCCTCCTGGACGAGTCATTGCCATTTTCTCGGCGAGTATCCAACACATCGGATTAATGACATCGCGATGGCGTTACGTTCCAACGATACACCGAATAATCGAATGTTCACCCTTTTTAATTCTCCTTAAAACTCGAGAGGCTTTGACGATCGTTAAATCCATCGGTTTCCCGTCAACCAGACCAACAAAACAGATTAAGTTCTGGTCGACGAGCGATCAATTAAACGGGATATCTCGATGCGGACGATAAGTCCTCGTCTTGGACTTAACGCGTTTGTTCGCTGTGAGTATTAAATCGGTTATAACATTTCGAAATCGTTTCGGCCCCTTTTCTCTCGCGACACGTTACAACCGGTTTCATCTCGATTGAAAGTCAAAAATATTGGAATTTCGACACGATGCTGAAACGTTTCCTCGGGACCGGAGAAAGCTGTTTGGGGATGGGCACGCGGTCGGGTAATGGAAGATGTGATAATTTAGTATGCACAGTGGAGTTTATTTGAATTTTATTGGCGGGCTCGCTGTCACGTGGGTCAACGCGTAGGAGTGGTGGTCGTGCCACAAGGGGGTCCCTCTTTCGCTTTATCGGATCGGGGGAGAGACGACGCTCCTCCCGTTTTCTCGTTTCCCCGAGGGGACACTTCCGTCCGACCAATATCGCTCCTCTCTCTCAACTCCTCTCGCTCCTACTCCCAGTTTTTCCAGCTTCCTCCGTCTCTTTTTCTATCTTTTACCCTCTCCTGGGCCGCTTCCAATATCTTTCTAAGTTCTCCGAGCCGGCCATGAATAAACTATTCCCCGACTTTGAATATCTGAACGTTTTGCGCGGGAATGGGACCGCCATCGAGGGACCAACCGCAGAAAGGACGAGAGAGGATGATATCGATTGATCGACGTGTTATGTGGAAGGGGCTAACCGCCCAGGCCGACGGTATCATCCTTCAATTTTTGGAAAACGCTGTGACAGAAGGGAGAAGAATAGGATGAGACTGTCTTTCGCGTAAACTTTCCGTAAAGATATACGGGAGAAATATTACGGGGAAAGATGAGAAGAAAATTCCTAGCTCGTCGTCCGTGGCCGCGAGGAAGCTGCGTAATGCATAGGAAATTCATCGAAATCTGCGAGTCGATCTTTATTCCCTCGGATCGAGCGAAACGATTAATTTTTCGTAACGGTGACGCTGATGAAATCAAGCAGTCAGCATAATGAGTTGCGTTGTCTGCCGCGCAATTCATCGGATGTCGTAAAACGAGAGGTGAGAGGAGGAGAGGGTGGAACTAAGGAGGGGGTGGCGAAGGATGGCGCGGGGTTATTAATATTCAGAACGAGGAACAGGAGTCGAGAGCGGTGCCGAGTGACAAATACCTCGCACCCGTCCCAACCCCGGAACGGCTCAACTCTGTAATTAACGCTAATCTCCCGGCCGTTCCTCCGACACCGTACCACCCACTTCGTCTTCTCTCCCGCCTCTGTACTTACCGAGCCAGAGGGTGGCCTTAAACAGGCTCTCGAGTCGATTCTTGGCTGAAGAGGATCTATGATTCCTCTTGGCGACTAATAAAAGAAAGCCCTTGCTCGGAAATTGAACGACACGAGGCAAAAGGTGAACGACTATGATCGCATATTTCACTGACTTTCTTAATCGGTTGTTTAACTTTTTGCCAAAACACCGAATGTTTTATATCCCTTGCAATGTCTCCCTTCATTTTTGCTTCTTTAAACAGGCAGAATGGAGGACGTCGTTTTGTTGGTCCTTTTTATCTTCATAACTGAATAAAGACAGCATAGGGATGAAAAACATAACCACCGGCGGCGGTCCCTGCATAGTTTTGCAAATATTACGGTGGCACTGCTCATCCGTCGTGCGTTGTGTACATTTGAATTTACAAAACCGGAAGCTGAATTACTACCTTCGCGTACAGGCGAACGCACGTGAATTATCATTGCAGGGATGGTGCAACTTCACGAAAAATTTTAACGTCCCGCACTGCGTGCCACCGTGAAACGATTAAACGCATTTCCATTGAATAACATCCCACATGATACAATAATCGCCGTAATCCTCTTATCTAGATACGGAGGAGGAAAATAATATTTTTCCAAAAAAACATTCGAAACCATGATAAAACCACCAATTGTGAGATACATCGCGGTTATAACAGGTATTCCGGTTCGACTATAAGAGTATCGAAATGTTTCACGATTTTTGGAAAAAATTGCGGCAAATGCACGTCGCATAAGGGAAGACGGATAGGAGCGTCCCTGAGAGGTCAAAGGACGAAGATTCCTTCATCCACTTCCTGCGATATGGTCGTCGCTGGTGGTTGCGCGGCTCGGTTAGCACTTGGTGGACTAAAATAGCGAGTCAGCCGACCGCGAATATCCTTGATTAAACGCAAAAAAGCTCCGAGACCTACGCTCGCCTTGTGCTCTGGCGTGGCTGCGTTTTTTCGCCACCCTCCGCCATCACGATGGTCGGGTTTGAGCGTGGAATTGGATTGGCCGTCTTTCCTCTCTTCTCGTTCTCTTTCCCCTTCGCTTCATTCCCTCTTCAGCAAGAGAAAGAAACGTTGGTAGTTTCAAAGCTTCTGGGGACTCGATTAGTGCCAGTATGCGACATCAGAAATACGTAAGCACTGTTCGCTTCCAGGTATTCCTTCCGGTTAAATTGTTGTACAACGTTCTAATTTCTTAAGGTAAAGGGAATATCTGATCCTTTGTCGTCCGATCGCTTTAATACCCCGTAGCTTCGGTACTTGAATTTCCATGGTAATTAAGCGGCATGTTAATAACAAGGTCCCATGAAATGTTTCTCCGTCGATTTCCTGCTTTCCTCAGAACGTCGATGACTCGATGAATTTATAAAATTGCCTCGATAGACACGTTCACCTGAAACAAAGATCAGTTTGCATTAGTATATGCTCGCAACGAGGCAGACGCTTCTTAAAACTGCAATAATGTTCTTTAAAGGTGACGAAGGTTTCCTCGGGATAGAACCGTAATAATCGAGAATGACGTTGGTCGAAACAATGCGGCAGGCATCCATCCTATAAGGCGTGAGTTTCGTATGCCAACTAAGGGTGATGTCAGAACACGGTGATATATGGTAGAAGCACGGGAAATGCCACGTGCCCAACAACCTTCCATACAACTGCAAAAGGATTAGGAATCTACCATATTCTGCAGCACGTTATTTCAGAGTGTAATTGAACTCCTCTCGCGCTGTCATTTCCTCTGACCTATCGATCAAAATTGATCACTGGTCATTACACTGGCACAATTAACTCAGTGCTGATAATAGACGTCGAACATTCGTGATTAACTTATTTTGAATTTCGTGTTTGAAACCTGAATCGAGTAAAAACGCGAAACATCGCAAGTTTCGCGAGGAACAAAGAATTATTATTGCGCAAAGAACAATTTCTTTTGATTATAAATCGCGAGTGTGCGGAAATCAACTTTGATCTTTGGTATAGTAATTAGTCATGTAAACACTAGTCATCGCCGATAAAAGAAATTTCTTCGTTTTCAATGGAGTACAGTTGTAGATACCTTTCTCACAGACGTCGCTCGCAAAATCGATTCTAAAGCCGCTATCTCAACGCGGCTACAAAATGGCGACGGTAAGGGGAGTGTTACTCCAATCAGAAGCTGCGACCATGAATAAGCGTCGGCTGTTTTCGATTGGCTTGAAAATTTGTACTTTTAACGAAAGACAGTTTTGTATCCGACACGATAGGGTGTTCTTAATCTTAGAGTCGTAGATTTTTAACGATGACTAGCATAAGTTATAAAATTATTTTCCTTCTTTTGCTTTTAAGTGTATTTGAAGCTACCGTTGACAGTTATCATGCCGTGGTTCTTATTCATGGTATACTCACTGGAAGTGATAGTATGGAACTTATTAGTGATAGAATCGCTGAAGTAAGTAGTCAAGAACGAAACAAAGAATGTCATAGATGACGTGCTTTTTTATATTTGGCGGGTAAATATGATTTCTCGTATAATTATGATTCCTACGCTTAGAATGATGAATTTTAGATGCATCCGGGGACACAGGTTTATAATATTCCGAGATACGCTGGATGGAGTAGCCTAGAATCGATGTGGCATCAAGTGAAAGAGATGGGTCTGGATATCTTATCTATAGGCGCTGCATATCCTGAAGGAATAAATTTAGTGGGTTACAGTCAAGGTGGTTTAATAGCTAGAGCGATATTGCAAAGATTTCCTGCGCATAATGTTAGAAACTTCATTTCCTTGAGTTCACCACAAGCTGGACAGTATGGAAGTAAGTAACTGTAGTGCCATTTTTAAAGAAACACGAAAAAATCGCTTCAAATGCTATATTTTATTGTAGCACAATTTTTGCATTTATTTTTCCCCAATTTGACGTGTAAAACTGCGTTTGAATTATTTTATTCCAAGCTCGGACAACACACCAGTGTTGGGAATTACTGGAATGATCCTCATCATCAAGTTAGTATATCTCGTACGCTACTCCATTCGTCGATCTTTTCGTGCGAAATTAAATTTGCTTTTCGTTTCTAGGAATTATATTACAAGTATAATACATTTCTTCCGTATGTAAACAGTGAGATACCCTCGATCAAATTGTCAACGAATAAACGAGGTCTCACCAAGTTAAAACGCATGGTACTGGTTGGAGGACCCGAGGACGGTGTCATTACTCCATGGCAAAGCAGCCATTTCGGATATTACGATGCCAACGAGACTGTGATAGATATGCGTGATAGAAGTATATATAAGGATGATTTAATCGGAATAAGAACATTAGATGAAAGTGAAAGGCTCACTCTTATTACAGTTCCAAATATCCCTCATAATGAGTGGCATAAAAACGTATCAATAGTAGATGACATCCTACTACCATACTTAGATTAGTGTAATTTTATTCTAGACTAGATAATTAATTGTTGCTATATGACATGAAGAAAATTTCAAAGTTCAAAGATCTCTCACAATGACATTTACCATGGCAAACTTTTTATTTATACCATGTAAATTACGTACATTTTAATAATATTTTATACAAAAACAAACGCATGATAAATACACTTTTAATATTCTAAAAGTAAGTATTTTCTAAATCTAAGTAGGAAAAATTATTTATTAAGTTAGTCTGATAATAAGTACGTACAAATTTTTTTCTAATAAATGTTTACTACCTCTTTTGATACAGAATTAAATACTTTTATTGCATATATCCTAGTTTTGTTCAATGATTATTATTATTTCAGATCTATACCTTATAGACCTATTATGCAGTAGAGTATAGGTACAGTAAAAATTATCACATGTTCAACAAAATATATAGTTGAGTTATTTAGAATTTTTTATTGCTTGTAAAGCGAGTAATGAGATCAAGAGCCCATTTTGGCTGATCAGAAGGCACCAGGTGTCCAGCATTTCTTACCAAAACTTCTATTAAGTTACCAACAGTCTTTGAGTATCCAGCTAATTCATCTCCAACATACCATATTTTTCTCGGAGCTTTTTTGTATTCTGCTGCGAGAGACCAGTTTAAGTTTCTCAGATAATTTTCTACCGTAGTATATGCAATGATAACATCAAGTTGTCCATTGTATATGAGGACTTTATGGTGCTGAAGAAGATCTGCTATAAGGTCTGCTACTGATTCCATAACATCTCCTTTCAAATATTCCTCTACCTTTTTAGATGCTGCTAAGAATGTGTAATTACCAACATGTATAGCTTTTCTAACATCTGCCCTTTGAAGCCATTGTACCATATCATTGTCAGCATCACTGTCAACTTTATTACGCAAAATATTGAAATAATAATCAAAGCCGGTTAAATTTTTAAACAGTGAAGGTTGTTTTGTTAAATCACCATCAAGAAGTTCATCAAAAACGGTAAAAGCTTCGGTAAATTTCCTTTGTTTAACTAAAGCTCTACCATTTTCTTCATATTGGCGAAATAGATCTCTACCATTTATATCAAGTAAACCTACTTGATATAAGAAATCTCCATACTGTAGTTGATTTCCTGGGTCAGTCAGTCCATTTCCAATTGCCAAACCTTTTAAATTTATTTTTACGTCAGCTTTAACATTATTCTCTTTGATAGCATAAGATACGGCTGGGACATATTTTCCAGCATAAGATTCACCAGTGACATAAAAGTCATTAGTTCGAAGCTCTGAGAATAACTTGAAAAATTGAACTAATGCACTATAAACATCCCTTGCTATATGGGTTTCATTAGTAGCATAGCCCTTTTCATTCTCGGTAAAACTAAATCCAGTACCAACTGGATTATCAATGTAAAGCATATTATGACATTTGTTCCAAGAATATTTACGCATATCAAGAGTTTTATTTCGTGTAACTGTAAATGGACCATTTTCTAGAAATAAACCAAACATGGATGTGGCTCCAGGACCACCTTGCAGCCATAATAATACAGGAGCAGTCCTTGGATTATGCTACATAAAAAAAATATTCTACTTTGCCATAGTCACTTTTTAAATATTTAATTAATGATGGAGATAATGAAAACTGTACAATTACAAATGTATTTCATTGTAAAATTCATGATGTTAACTTACCACAGCTGGGAAAAACCAAAAGAACAAATTCGAATTATAGTTTTTATTAACAGTTAAGAATCCGGCATAACTGCTAACATCGTTCATCTCCTTGTGTTGTACAAGTGCTTTGTTACGAGCCTCATCTATTTGATTGTTGTCGATAAGAGGTGTCAAAAAAAGAGGCAAACCAGTATCTTCTTTACTGCACGGATAATTCTTCACTTTACGATAAACATTTGAAAATCCTGTTGTGAACGAAGCAAAGAATAAAATTTGTAGAAGCAACACGAGCTTTTTCATTATCTTTGATTAAATACAATGTAACTATCTTAAGAACGCTACAAAGCCACTACTCAAACCACACACGAATGCAATCAAAACGCAATTGCTGGCGATTTAATGTAAAACAAATCTTTATATACCGGTGAATCATAGTTGCCAACGCAACAAACACAACTATTGCATGATACCTCTACAGCTGCCTAAGATAGTATAAAATTTCATATTAAACATATTGTGTATTTAAGTTTAAAATTAAAGTTAAGAAAAAGCATTTAAACATTTTTTTTCACTAAATTCTAATTTAAATACAGAAAGAGAAATGCGTTGGATGATATGATGCACTTTGCCAATTTTATAATTCGAATCAATAATGCTTTATAGATGTCGTTCGAAGCTAACGTATCAGCTGATCATACCAACACAAGTTAATTTAAATTGGACATGCATATGTATCCTACAATTCAATTGAAGGTTACCGAAGAATTGTTACTATTTTTAACCGAGGATACAACGTATTATAAACAATTATGTTATCATAAATAAAGTTTAACACTTCTTCGAATGAAATGGTGCAGAATAATCAAAGTGTCTGACATTTTGTGATAAATCCGCATATAAAACTTCATGGTATCATTTTTTTGTGATCACTGTAATGCAAAAATTGAGGAAAAACCTGCATAATTAACGGATTTGAAGAATTTATATATAAAAGTTCCTACTAGGGTTATATTTACATATATAGAAAAGAATTGTATTTTATTTGTTGTTGAATTAGAAGAAACTACAGAAATATGAATGATTCTTTCCTAGAAGACTTAAAATTAGTATCTACTGATGTTAAAACTTCAAATACTTATTCAGTGGATCGTCATGTAACCACAAGACATGCAACATCCTCTCCTTTGCAACACTTACCACAAAATAAAGGAGATAATGTACAAAATATACATGTTGAAAAGCAATTTAAAGTTAAAGAATTGAGCACAAAAGAGTTGAAAAAAATTCGACAAGATTTGAAGAAGATGCAATTTGAACAAGACACAAAGAAACAACAACTAAGAGCAAGAATATCTGAGAAGAAAGAGAGATCTGTTGAAACCAAGTTGAAACCAATTGAAAATAAAGTAAAAAGCGATGGAAAAGAGCAAGAGATCAAAGATGATACTAAAACAAAAACTAAAGATGTAAGAGTAAAGTTTTCTGAAAGCAAAACAGTTGGGAAGGATAGAATACACCATTCTGGAAATTATAAAGAAAATGCCCAAACTTCAGATGTGTCTGTCAAGGAAAACAATAGACCTCTTGATTATTTGAAAGAAGGAACATCTCAAATGGATACTTGTAAAGAAAAAACAAAGGTCTATGATACTCATATAAAAATGGAGTCGAAAGAAACTGATCCTGTTGCACTCCTTAATGCTATTAAAGATATTGTAAGCACATGCACTAAAGACGAAAGCACGAAGATTTTAAGGGCAATGCAAGGCTTACATTTTAATTCTCAAGCAAATTTTCTTAAACATTTGCTTTGTCAAACAGATATTATAATTAACGAAATGCACCCTAGTAACGAATCTAACACAGTAAAAAATCTAGTAGAACAAAATGCGAGATTACAAGAGGATATTGCAATTCTATCCAAAAAAAATCTAGAACTGCAGAAAAAGTTGGAGGAGTTTGAATTTTTGAAGCAGGAAAATATTGCATTGAAAATGAAATGCAAGGAATTATCTAAACAATAGCAAATGTATGCAGTATTCTGAATTTAGGTACTTAGAATCTCTTCATAAAAAGATATCCATTCCATTTTACTGTTGTGCTCTAACAATTATCTATATATATTGGTATTATTATGTGTAAGGTTCTCGAAAATAAAAAATATCAAGCACATAAAACATACTGAATGTTCAAGGTATTTTTCAGAAATGAACGTAACGAGAACGTACAAACATTATCGCTGCTAGCGCTGATTGTATATAATAATTCATAATCATATTCACATTTCTTTATAATTTTTTTCTATAGTTCCCATTATGAATTTATTGAATTTATACAATCCTTCAAAATAGTAGGTTTATACAAAGTATAAACTATATAGCAATTACTAAGTAAAGTGATATGTTTTCCGCTTAAACTCAGATAAGTCTACGCGATTAGACCAGGAAACTTTCATGATATAAACAAGGATATTGCGTAAAGATCGACATGCAATATCATATGTATTTAGTAAAATAACTGTCACTGTATGTGTGGGAAATACCGTGCTTATTCATGTTTCTATTTTCGAGAAATCTTATTCTATATTTTTCCGTCTAGTACCAATAGCCGATAGTTATTAGAGTACACAATTTTGCACATGTTTTAACTACATGGTGTTTTCCATATTGTTACGTACCCCGAATGAAAAGTGATAACACCAGTGCTACGAAATTAACAATACGATATTTTCTTAGTAATATTTTTTAACATTTTTACTAATATTTTTTTAAGTCGTAAAAATATTTAAGAAACTAAAAGTATGTTATACCGTTCGAAAAGTTACAGCTTTATTTAACATATATGTACTGAAATATTTTATTCCGTGTTAAACCAAGGTTGATATATTTATTGAACAAATATGAATTTGTAAATCTTTACCTGTAAGGAAATGCCTAATAAAATACTTTAACACTGAATTTCTGTGATCCCTACATTCGTTGAAGTAGAATTATAAGAAATAAATTAAACCACGTTCGTCTGAAACAATTTACATATATTCGAAGATTTAAAAGGCATATTAAGGCGATATGATACAATGTTTCGACAAAAATGCACATCGTAAAATGCATATTTACAAACAATGATAATCGTTACGATGCCAAGGTCTTTGTTAAATACCATTTAATATTATAAAACACGCTCAGGGCTTGGCAAAATGGCCAGATAATTACTCATGAGTGATAGCTGAATGAATTGACGATTAGAAAAACGTATAAAAAGGAAAGAAAGATCTTGCTATTGGCAGTTTTGGAAGTTTAGAGTTTTTAAAGAGTAAGGGGCATGTGTTCTTACCTATACAGATGCAATTTTAAATGCGCGATGCTAGAAATATACACCGATTTCGGCGTGAATTCCAATAAATTAGAAGTAAGAAGAAAGCACTATCTCGCACGTAGTACAACAAACTTATTCGTAGATGCTTAATTCTATAAAGCACTTCTTCCAAAATCGTGTTACTGACGTTTTATAATCACAATATTCTTCATACCTTGGGGTATGAACAACTATACAAGCGAGTCCTTATCGATAAATATTAAAGTAGAAATTAGTAAAACCTTACTTAGGAGTATGATTAACAAATAAATAATTCTACCATATAATATATCCTTGAATCTGTTTAAAATCTTCAGGTCTTCCTTTCATTAATTTTCTTTACTTTCATTCGTATTATTTCATCTCTCTCTCTCACTCTCTCTCTCTCTCTACATTACTTGCTTCTCTATGTACATCATTATAATATACATATTCAAAGATAGGAACAATCGCTCTGTTAATCAACTCTCTAACAACAAACACGGTTGTAATAAATTCCTGAGTTTCTTGAATTTTTCGAACCATTCTTTTCGTCACTTTTTGACAAATGCGCGAACTATTGTCTCCTTGTTATCCAAGGTTACCGATAACCTTTCTCAAAAAGTTTCTTTCCTCAACAAATTCCGCTTCGCATAATGAATAAGTTTACACGTTTAAAGAGAAATTTCTCGGGATTCCCTTCCTTGTCCAGTATTATCCTCCTCTGCGTCATCCTGGTCTTCGTTATCAGTTTTCTCTCCTTCTTCGGGAGGCCTTGTCCACCTAAAAAGAGACAGAAGGAAAAATATTTCCTCGTTAACTACCTCTCTTAAATCGAATAAAACAAATACGACGATAATCCGATGTAATAGCAACCTGATCAACGTCTCTGGCGATCTATAAAGGAATATTAATTTGGCGAATAAGTCTTCCTCGAGACACAACTCTCCACTTTCGCGAACCAAATAAATGTCTAAGCATAGTCGCAGAATTCTGTCCACGTAGGGCAGGTCATCGAACATAATCTTTGGTGCCATATCACTGACTATCTTCCTCATCATTTGGCTTATAACTATGACCGCGGTCGTATACAAACCCAAGATTCTGTAGGCATAAATAATAATCGATAAGAAATCGACAGTCGATATTCTTCCTTACTCGACAACGTTAGATAATTTCAAAGAAGTACCCAAATCCACTGATGAAACTCAACCCTTCGGGGAATGTTTTATCGTTGAACAAGAACATCATGATGTACTTGCAGTCATTTAAGGGCACTCTGCTTAATAGCTGATCGTATAAAGTATCATTGCAAACTTCTTTAACGATCCACCATTTCTGACGAGCACAACATTCTGCGTCTGTGGATAAATGAAGACTAATGTTCCTGAACAGACGATTAACGTCTTCTTCCTCTACCTCGTCGTCCAGCCATCTCGCTGAAAATTAATTCCATACGGTTCATTGACTCCGTGTCCTATCTTCGCTCATAGACTCTTTGTCCCAATAAAACTTACGCATTCTCATTAATTGTGGAACAACAACGGTGGTTCGGCCAGTCACTTTCAAGAACTTCGGGAAAGCATATTGCAACGTGATAGTACCGTTATGCACAGTCGAATTGTTACTAGACAACATGTTGGCTAACGTTTGCCTCACAGGATTAAATTCGTCGTTTTCAAACGGTGGCAATTTTATGTCCTGTACTTTAGTCGTTATACCACTGGCATCCTTTGCATCTGTTTTTCGAGACACTGTCCATTCCACGTGGACAACCACGGTTGTGCTATTGTCTTCTAATTCCGTTATCAGTCTATTGCAAAATCATGAGACAAAATCATAGGCACGATACCTAGTATTAGAAAATTATTCGTGAAAATCGAAGCGATATTAATCGTACCTTTCTAAGTCAGGCGGAGATATACTCCACAATTTTCGAGAGAACCCACTTAATCTTACAGCAGCAACATCAGAGTGTATATAATTCTCGAGGAAAGTGACCGCAGGTCTGTCTCTCGTGTATAGATTCGTAAATCGGGTGTAATCAGAGTCGCTGTACTCGATGATAGAGCTGCTCTGTGCTGACATGGAGTAAATGGGTTCGTAAGGACCAATTCTGATCCTCATTGAAACATCGTACGGTAGATTGGAGACACCGACTGTCCCGCCAAGCGCAAACAAAAGCAAGGGGAACCATATTAATCCGATCATGAAGAAAAGTGCACCACCACCGACTAGATATTTGCTCATTTGCTGTTTCTTCACGCCTCGTGGTTGAGGGAAATCCGCTTCTACGCCACGCATACACTGTAATTTAAATTTGTTGGTAATAATTCACGATTAAACCCCTGTGAAATCTATCCGACGGTATATTACTTTGATCTGGTAAATGTTGGCGAAAATATCTTCCATTTTGAACCAGTCCATTATCGACATGGAAGTATCCGTCCAGATCCAATCCATTACTGCTCTTAATTCGAATAAGAACGGAACTAACATGAATCTGTTGGAAAATCGCACATAAATGACTCAACTTAAAATATTGGAGAATTATTTTCGATTTATAAGATGAAAGTATTCTAACCCTTTGAACAAAACGTAGTTGACGATGCTGTACTTTTTGCACAGGAAATTGCCGAGTATGCGAGTCGGATAGCCTTGTCTCAATTGATAGGCTGCTAATAAAAGGTAGAAGCACTTAACCATGTACCAAATTTGCGGAGGAAGCCTCTCGTTGAATCGTCTACGAGTTTAATCGACGATTTAAATAAAAAGTATCTAATATTAAAAAATTGGCGCGTAATTATAATAATCAATCGTACCGTTCGGTAACGCTTGGCAAGATGAAGAACATCCAAATGTGAACGCCGAATATTAGGAAATAATGGAAGATTAATTTGCCTAGGATCGATTTCTTTAAAAACAACGCTCTATCGATAACTATCAACGCAAACTGCAATAATAACATCAACAAGAAAGGCATTGGAACTCGATTTTCTTGTAAATAGGCTGTAACGCCACCATCACCCTGTTGAGTCTAAAAATTCATAAAAATAGTTTTAAGAAACGAAGAATATATATATATATGAAATTGTTAAGAAAATGTCTGAGAACTTACCCCAAACGCGGAAAATCCGAAAATGAGCAGCAAAAAGTTGAAAAAATCGCAGAGGAACATATACGCGTACACGTTTGTCTTTTCTTTACCTAGCGGACTAAGAATCTTTTGGAAAAAGTTTTTCATCGGTTCCATATACTTATTAAAGCTAAAATAAATCAAGCTATTCAAGCCACTGTTCAAAAATGATCATACAGTATTATATCAAATTTAATTCTATTTGCTCACGTCATATTCATAGCTTTATTGAATTCTTCATTCAGGGGACTGACCTCTTCCCCTCGAACCGCGACCAATTGTTCGTATTCATCGCTGGTTTGCACATTTTGACCCTCACCTACTCCATGAAGGTTTAAAATTCTTCCTCTGGGTGTCCTTACGCGAGTTCCGTCTCTGTAAAATAATAAAATATTACTATCAAAGGAAGAGATTTGTTAACCGATAAAATAATTCCAGAATTATTCACCCAGCTTCATTTTGTAACGTTACAGGCTCTCCCTGGCCCCTGTTTTCAGGCGGATGCTTGGATGGAACTATAGTCATATTGGAAGGAATGATTTTCCTTGGTTTCAAGGATGGAGATGTCCATTGGCCTAATGACTTGAGCATAAATCTAAAAATCGAATTTCTCTAAGGTCTCTGTAACAAATAAACACTTTTGCCAAATTTATTTCGCCACTTACCTATGGAAAAACACCATAAGAAGTAATAACAGGTCCCATAAAGCGTAATTATGTTTTCGTTCAACCCCCATAATTCTAGGAGTGAACAGTGGATTGTTTGGTGCTGCGTCTCGATTCCAGGGCAGTACTTCCAATTGGAAAATGCATTTTACTATGACAATTGCCTAAGGGAATTTCGCATCGATTAACTTCTGTTTCGAAAATATTATCGATCGATTTCAAAAATTCTACTTTACCTCGGTGTACGCGATTAATGTTACCCAAAATGTCTTCGAGGGTCGTGGAATAGTTAACGAACCCCAACAGAATACCATGAGAGGTAACGGGGTGGAGAGAACCGATGCATTTTTGATCTGATGAAGAAACACCATAAAGTAACAGAGTAGACACGAGTGTGCCAAGATTCCGAACCAAATAGACGCCAATAATTGTATTATCGGTGGTTGATCCACCTCGGTTAATCCACCTCCCTCGTCGTCATGTTGGACAGGTGAAATTTCGGAGAAAAGTGCGCTGCGTAAAGAAGACATTACGTTAGTCGCGTTAAAAATCCCGAGACACGATGCAACATAAATTCGCAGAAGAAAGAAAAGCGTTCCTTTTTTCTTTTGCGAAATATCGAAACAGGAAGCACACGAAAAGCTCGAAGACCTGTGTGAAATGAAACTAAAGAAATTCTGTTAACACGCATTCCTCTGTAAACGTTACAAACGTTGTAAAAATTTGTACAATTATAACATCCACCTTCAGAGTACACGAGAATGTAAGATGTTTAAAAAGAGCAGAAGAAATTATAACGAGCATGCTGCTTGCAAAGATGAACGTGCAAAAGGTGTGTCGAACGATCAAGTGATGTACTCTCGATACCTGGAGGAGGACATGTCCAATCCTCGCTCCAAACTCGGTGCCAGAATACGGATATGAGGGACGGTCAATGAGCTGCTCCCCCTATCAAAAATAACACTCCTCTCTGTCTACGTTTACTTCAAAACACGTTTCTGGGATAAGATAAATACGAATAGGATTCGGGAATAATGGTCGAGGTAATCGAGGCAACGAAGCTTCCATCTCCAAAGGTTATTCGATTAGTAACAATGAGATTACCATTAATGCATTTTAGTCATTTTAGTAGCGACTTAGACAAGAATTGCGAAGAAAAGACGAGCCATTTTCTAGAAAAATCTTACCTCTGTCCCTGCGGTCGTGGTTGGCTAGGACCCTCGCCAGCATCGTGAGAGTCTTCGGTATTTCCACTAGATGATCTGTCAGAGCGAGCACATTTACTACTCTACCTTCTACTATAATGTTTAGCCTAAATATCGGGGGCAGATATAGGCTACTCTTCGACGGGATTTCGAACGTTTCTAACGAGGAAAAGCAAGTACTTGGGGCAAGCGCAACGCTACTGAAGCACTAAAGTGTCGACGTGGAATGGATGGTATCGAGTAATTTACAATCTAAACAATTGAATCTGTAAAATCGTCTTTGAATTCTTCGACAAACGCGACTTCCGATTCTCTACTATCTATACAGTCAAGCGTGTACGAATAAATACTCGAAGAAGTCAAAAAGGCAGAAACGTATGTTTAATTACGATCTTCTCTATCAGTTTTATCTTACCCTTTTCTCATCAGAGGAATCGGTTGCCACATTTGATTGATACCCAATCGCATACCCATTCGGAAATCTGGCTTTGCCTACAAGTTAAGTGTTCAAGGAGAAAAATGTCTCGGTGTTATACGATTCATATGCGTTTGATCATGTACCTTCAACACTTTCTTCTCTTTCGTTAAAACCTTGCGAATGTATCGGTAATCGCGGGAGAACCTGTTCAGGTACTTCGTCATCGATGTCAGAGTGCTGTTAACTATCACCATGACGAACGTGAAGTACGTGCCAATAGAGACTTTCTTCTCTTCCTCCTCTGTTTCCTTCCCGTCCGTTTTGTCCTCCTTATCCTCATCGTCCGATGCTCTAGGTGTCTTGTCAGGCTCTGGCAATGTGGCGTCTTTTTCTTCGGTCTCGATGTCGCCTGACGTGATACTCGTTTTATCGGCACCCTAATCGAAACGACGAATTATCATTTATGTTGTCACTTCGTCCCGGTTGAAGGAAAATATTCGTACGTGGAACTTGAAGACATTCACACCATCGATTGACCGGTAGTTGGAAATTTTGAACGAGGGAAATTCAGAATCGAATTGTCGATCAACGATGGCGTTTCGTCCGTTTCAAATTCTGCGTATGCAATTGATCGACATCAAAGATTATTGTTATGATTGAAAAGCGTGAGATTACGGTGCTACAGTCGCTGTAAACGTAATGAAAACAAATTAAGCTAAAGTATCGAGCGGCAGATTATGTACACCAACGACGAGGAGCCTCCTGCGACTACAACATTGAAAGGGAATGACATAAATAACGAAAAGAAGAAAAAAAAAAGAAAAGAAAAGGGAGGATGGAGAGACAACGTGAATGGAACGCCACCGCTTCCGTTATATTTTTTCTTTTTTTTTCTTCTTCTTTTTTTTTTTTTTTTTTTGTTTTTTTTGACAAAGCTGTAAGATGCAAAAAGAAAAGAAGAATTACTGTCGAAGCGCTGTAACAACTGGCGAATATATTCATTAATACCGCTATTATTCGTGGCTTGCTGTGTGCCTATGTCTCGTGTATTCGTTATTGTGTTAAACATGTTAAAACTGTGTGAATCTTGCGTAGCTGGCTATTAGATTTTCAAATACATACTTCGATAGATGATTCGTATGTGGTCGAATTTCATGTGACAATGAAATCAATGAATAAATACGGCAAAAAAAAATATAAAAAACGGAAAAAAAATATGAAAGAAAGGAAAGAAAATACAAAACGTACAAAATAATGAACGATAGAATAATACGTCGATGGAACAAACGATTAAACAAACGATATAAAAAATAGAAAAGAGAAGGTTATAAAGTACAACGAAAGCTAAGGAGAATTATTCACAGATAAGAAACTATCAAAGAAGACAAATGATGGTCGACAACGTATGTATATTAAGAAACAATGATACAACGATAATTACAGAGAAGAAGAAAGAAAATGGAAGATGAACCAGGTAAGAAAAAAAAAAAAAAAAAAAAAAAAAAAAGAAGAAAAAATATCGAACGATGTTAAGAAATGGAGGAGAGCGTATATAAAAGTTACGAAAAAAAAGAAAAAAAAAAGAAAAAAAAAAGAAAGAAAGAAGAGACATTTCGTAAGAATGAAGAAGGAGAAGATGGTGGGCAGGTGAGAAAAGAGAGCCTGTAGCAGTGACATGCAGCCTTTTAAGGGGGTCTCACATCGGTGGCCACTGCAGTGTCGGTCTCGGAACGTGCACTGAGATACGACATAGACGATTTCTTCCTTGTTAAAGGCACACTCCGACGACGTAGTCTCAGCGCGTCCTTTTCCGTCCCTCCATACATGGCGACGTGCGTCGCGATCTCAATGTCTGTCTTAATCAGCGTGTTCATCAACTGTAAGGGGACCAGACTTTTGATTCATTTCATTCCATGCAATACCCATTGCCTTTTTGGTATACTGTTGTCTGCTGTCTGATGACTCCTCGACGGGCCAAGGATAGAGAAAATCGTGAGAATGGGGT